TTTTTTTTTTTTTTTTGCTAAGAATAGAGATTAAGAAGAGAGAAGAAGACAATCTCGGTAAAAAAAAGCTACGGGATTGTGGCATATTTTATGAAAAAAGGAAGGAAAAGGGGGCAAGAATCAGTAGTTTTATGAATCATTGTTGACACATGCACACTGTGTAATGCTGACCAGAAACAAGTGAACACCTATTCTTCAAGTGTAGTTTTACAAAGCAGATATGGCAAAATATTAGCAGCATGGCAGGTATCCCTCCTATGGACTCTTGGCATAGTTTACTTTCTTGGATGGGCAAACGCATTGGAAGAAAGTCATTACATGATACTTTAATCAAGCTCTCTTGGAATGCTTCTCTCTATCACATTTGGTTAGAAAAAAACAGGAGAAATCACCAAAAAAGTTTTCAAGTCTACAGATATGATCATATGATGATATCCAGTTTAAAGTCCGTAATAAAGTGTTGGGTTTTGCTAAATGAAGAGCATCTCCTCTTCCTAGATTTATTACTGAGCAATGGGGGTTTGAGATAGTAGTGAATGAATTGATTTGTAGCTCTTGTTTCATTTTGGAATTGTTTGTCCTTGTAGCAGCATGGATTTTGCAGCAGCATAAGTTGCTGCTTTGCATTGTATTATAGTATTGCATAAAAAAATTTTACATTTTATCCAAAAAAGAATCAATAGTTTAGTGATGGTTGGAGGTGGTTCTGACTAAGTCGCTGGAGAAGGGGAAGATGACCGAAGATTATGTTCAGAGGTCGGAGAAGGGGAAGAAGAGAGAGGGGTAACTTTGACTAGGTCAAGTTATTTTGCAAAATTAATTTCCACCTCATTAATTTTTATGACGTGGATTTGTCACTTCACAATGGTAAGAAAAATGATTTTTATATAATTGTTTTATCTCATCTTTTTATATAACTCGACGTATCATTAAAATAATTGATTCTTTTAATTTATACAAGACTCATAATATTAAATACATCTACTCATTTAATGTCATATAAAAATTATATAAAAAAATAATATAAAAAAATTATCCCTATAACATCACCTCAATTGTAATGAAAAAATAAAAGTCAATGGGTAGTTAATGTGCTACCTAAGTAGAAAGTTAATGGAAAAATTAATTTTAAGTTAAATTTAAAAAATTTAATGATCAAATTAGAATTCTTTTAATCTAAAAACTAATTTAAAGGTCTGAATAATAATTAAATGGCCAAATTGAGAATT